GGGGGGGGGGGCGAAACGGTTGGTCTTGTAGACAACAACAAAAGGCAAGACCAAAAAAGAACACACAACACACACGTTGACACATCCAGACAAGTAGAATGACGTTTCGCTCAAGAAACACAAGAAACACACCACAACCCACAAGCAAAATGACACATGAACACGTAACACACAACACACGGTGACACATACATTCATGCACAGAGACCGGGAGCTAGCTGGTTACCCAAAGCCAAGAAAATGATATTGTGCGCGTTCGTAACAGCGGCGATCGTTCGCAGCCTCCGAGACCAGCCTCCCCCATAGAGGAGCATAGGGCCTGCTGGCAGAGCAACAATAACCTCTTTCGATCCGCTCCCCGCCTCCGCATCCAAAAACGACGCCGATTTTTTGGACAATTCCACGACAAAAATACCCCCGCAGTACACTGACGACTCGCCTCTAGTATTACTTTGACAAGATTGTGCCCGTCCAAACGACCCCCCACCCCTCCCCCCTCCCCACACCCAACGCATTTTCGCCTCTGATACGAACCCCCATTTGACCTTCAAAGAGAACAAACCACATCCATCAGCTACCCCTCTTCTCGATCTCACTCTACGGCACACTGCGTGATTTTTTTTTGCCGTCGCTACCGAAGACGCGTCACCCCCCCCCCCCCCCCCCCATTGGTCAAAAACCACCACCACTACAAATGGGTTTTCCTTTTATGGCCGGGGGGAAGAATCACGGGGAGGAATAATTGGCACCGTCACCGCCCAACACCCCCCCCCCCGGGGGGGAAGGAAAGGGGGGGGGGGAAAAGGGAACCTCCTCCCCCCTAGGGACCCCCTCTCTCGTCCCCCCCTTGTCTCCCGGCGGGAGGGGGGCCAAAAAAGGGGCGAGCGAACTCCTCCTCTCCCCCAAGGGGAAGATTCTTGGGTTGGCCTGGGGGCACGGGAAATACCCCCGGAAATGGGTTACGTGGGCCCCCCACCTCCGCAGGAAGACGGGAGCCCCGTCGCCGTCTTCTCCCCCCTCTGGCGCCAGCGCGGCGAAGGCGACGAAAACCTGCGCCAGCGCGATAAACGATAGCGACAGCAGCTCATCTCTTTCGACTGCTGTGGTTGTACCTACCTCCAACGGGTGGTATTTTCTGTGCTTTTGTGCGTATTTATTGAGAGCCAAACAACGAGGCAAACTGCAGAGGGCAGGAGACTTGACAGAATCGACCATAAAGACGTGGCGAGAAAAAAAACGACAAACGACGACCCTCATGCACACCACGACTAACTACCACCGCCTACGTACACGGCGGTTGCAGCGGGCTCGCCGACCACAAGACTATCGTCGCGGGTGCATCTGGAGCTCGACACTCTTGAGACAAAACATAAAAAGCAAAAACTTGGGGACGAAAATAAACGCGGCGGGGCGAGAGAGAGAGAGAGGTGGGGGGCGCGCAAGCCAGCGAGCAAGAGAGTCGAAATCTACCATCTACGGAGATTCATTCGGTCCACCACCCTCCTCCCGCTCGCTCGTCATCCCTACGTACCTCGTGTCGAAACACCACCGTGTAGATCAAGTTGGCTAAATGCAGCGCGAACCCCCCGACCTTACCCTCGTGCTTGAGGGCGTAGAACAGGAGCTCGTCCGTGATGTTGAACATCTCGAAGATGAGCCGGGAGCACTGCTGGGCGACAGCCACCAGCGGTCCGGGGTCACCGGCGGCATCGGCGGAGGACGAAGAGAGAGCCCGACCGTCGCCGCAACTGCCGCCCTCGTCCCCGCAATCGCTGCATTGCCTCGTGGAGCGCGCTACAGCGGCGGAGGTGGCCGCAACGCCGCCGGTGCTGTTGCTACGAGTGCCGCAGATCTTGGACCTCGGCTCCCCCGCGGCAATCATGGCGGCGTCGAGGTGGTCAAGCGCTCGCCGGAAAACCAGCAACCCCGACTCCTGGAGGCGCGAGATCGACCCCAAACACAACCAGCCGTCGTCAAAAAAAAAAAGAAGGGTTAAAGTGCGTTTGAGTCCAGCGATGCCAACATGTGTGGCCACGAATAGCATATGGGACGACGCTGTTGGTAACTCGGGCAGAATTCGTGCCTTCGAAATCGTGCAAAAAATAAGGAGTGCCAAAGTCGTCGTGCGCTCCCGTCCGTAACAGCAAGCGCGGAGCCGGGGGCATCGGCACAAAGAAGGAACTTGGGTGCAGGAAACCCGGCCAAACGCAGAACACGCCCGCACGCAAACATATATAGTTCCTTACTACCGCTTTGCGGTAACCCAACATCGACATATATTGGTCTTAGCGCAAGAATCTTCACTTGAGCACCTGTTGCCATTGTCTTACGTTCTTTGAATCCCGATTCCCAAAACTGAAAGTAGCTCAAATCGTGGCACGCCCTGTTTTTCACATGTTGTGGGTAGATAGAACCTGGAAAACATCTCGGCCCCGCTACTGTACTACAGGTCCACCGAAGACTCTGGAAACGTCTATTAATAGGGTGTCCATGCAGCTACCAGACGGAAGCCTCGTGGAATCCCGCCTGTCGTTTACCTTGAAGACAGCGCCGCCTCTCTCTCGCTCCCGAAGCACAGCGTTCAGCTGCGGCTCGAGGTCGAGGAACTCGCTCCACATCCACTTGTACGCCTGTGCGGACAAGCAAGGTTCCGGAACGGTAAGAAGCATCCGACGATTGATTTCGTTGCAGGGTATCGTGGTGCACAGCGCGTTTGTCGCTGGTGATGTTGCTGTTGTCAGTGACGAGTCGTTCGGTCACGCCAAGCCAACGAGTGGGCATCATTGCCACACGAGACGCGTACCTGAGAAGAATGGCCGGTGCGTGGGTAGATTGAATTTCCGCTTACACCTGAAAAGGGCATGGGTTTTGCCGCCTACACCTGCAAGATATGTTTTGTTCCGCTTACACCTGAAAAATATGGGATTTTCGGCTGTTGGCGGTCAAGTCACGCCCCCGAGACTCTTTGATGCTGCCTAAGCGCGGGTAGGTCAGTCAACATGGAAGCAATCTCTCGACGAATAGACCGGCACGGCGAAGAGGAAGGCACAGGGTGGCAGAGCTCACCTCAGTCTCTTGCACCAACACTTCCACCAACAGCAACAACCACAGCAGCACACCACAACAACACTATCGCCAACACCACGACCACCACGACCAACACGTACAACAACAACAACCACCACCGCAACACCTACAACAACAACAACAACGCCCACAACGACCCAACGCACCTGCAAGAATGTGGTAATCTTGTCCTCTAGAGTCCAGAAGGGGTAGGCGTTCTTCGAGCCAGGGGACAGGAAGAACATCCGCAGAGCACCCGAGGTGAGCTTGAGGCTGATACGGTATTGCTCGGTGGGATGCCTGCGGTTGTACACCATGAAGTGCTCCTGTTGCGCAGCGTGATGGTTACAACGGGAGGGGGGGGGGGGGGGGGGGGGGGGGGGCCCCCCCCCCCGGGGGGTTTTCTTCCCAGGGGGTCCATTCCCAAAGGTTTTTTGGAAAAGGGGGGGGGGGGGGCCCCTTTTTAACCAAAGAAGGGTTTCCCCTCCCGAAAAAATTTGCCCGGGGGGGCCAAAAAAAAAGGAAACCCCCAAAAACCCCCCCCCCCCCCGGGAAGGGGTTTCCC